GGTGACACAAAATGTGTGTCGGTCAAATCGGCCTCCATGGCGGCCGCTAGGCGCGAAGTCACGGTCCAGACCTGTTCATCTTCCCTATCTCAATGTGGTTGATGAACCCCTTTCGAGGTAAACGTACTTTCTCTTGAAGATTTTGCCGGAAAATCTCCTCGGTGTCCGTGGACCCTGTAACTAATAATCTACAAAAGGGGTAGGCCGAGGCACCCGTTGCCCCTTGCGGACTTAATCGGTTGCTTTCTCAGGGGGCGACAGCCGCCTCGGCAGTTCTGGCCAATTCCACAATCTGAGCACGGCAATTCTCCCCGAATCACTTCCACTTTTATGGGCTTACGACTCGTTATGAGAGAGCTGAAGGGCTGACTATAGACGACACGTTTCATCTGGAACTAGTATATTCTGGTCACGACTTTGGAACAGGATGCCGTTTTATGATCCCAGTAGTCTTGATCGGGCATTGCATTACATCATAAAGGAAGTCGAGTGTTGCAACAATACTTCTTGCGGACCTCAAGAAACGCAACTCTGGGGTGCACTGTTTATGTTTGCATGAATTTCTAGGACTATTCCTCTCAGGCGAAGCAAGTATTGCTATCTTTTCGTCGATTCATCAAAACATGGCGACACAACGAAGTCTTCGAGTCTGCAAGACCAAGCCTCGAGTTTTCGTCGTCTCTGATATCTCAAATGAACCCGATGACGCCGAATCTCTGGTTCGATATTTACTTTACTCGAACGAATTTGACACAAGAGGCCTGGTCGCGTGTACTTCCACATGGATGAGGACTAATGTCCACCCAGAAGACATGCAAACCATTGTCAAGGCTTACGGGCAAGTCGTCCATAATCTGAACGCTCACGTACATCCAGAGAACCACTACGCGGCCGCTGATTATTTCCTTTCAATCATCAAGACGGGGCCGTCTTTGTATGGGAAAAAGGCCTTGAAAGACGACGTCCCGTTGAGCGACGGAGCAGCATTGCTGATCCAACAAGTGGATCAATCAACACATCCATTGTGGGTTCTTTGCTGGGGCGGTATCAATGTGCTCGCCCAAGCGTTATATCATGTACAGAAAGAAAAATCGGCCGCGGACTTTGCTCATTTCCGTTCGAAACTGCGGGTTTACACCATCTCCGACCAGGATGACACTGGCGTCTGGATCAGAATTAATTTCCCTGATATCTTCTACATCTGCTCTGTGCATGGATGGAATGAATATGGCAACGCCACCTGGACCGGAATCTCCGGAGATATATTGCACGACCTCGATCGGGGTGGACCCGACAAGAAGAAAATCACGAAGGAGTGGCTGAGAGAGCACATCCAAATTGGCCCTTTGGGCAAACTGTACCCTAGCTACGCTTTCATAATGGAAGGCGATACACCCACGTTTCTATACCTCATTCAAAATGGTCTTGGACATCCTGAGCACCCCGAATGGGGTAGTTGGGGCGGAAGATACACTCGCGTTGATTTAGGTGGGCTGGCGAATCATTACCACGACGCAATTGACGAAGTCATTGGGGTGAATGGCCAAAAGTTCCGCAGCAATCAGGCCACCATCTGGCGATGGCGAGACCAGTATCAAAACGACTTCGCTGCACGGATGCAATGGACTTTGACAGATGATCGCAGTAAAGCGAATCACGCACCTGTGGTTATCGTTAATAACAGCACGCCCGGTCCAGAGCCACTGCTCTTGGAGGTCGACGCTGGTACGGAGCTGACTCTCGACGCGTCGCAAAGTTATGATCCAGACGGCGACTCACTCGCGTTCAAGTGGTTTCAGTACAAGGAACCAACTTCTTCACAGTCGCCGATTCACTGGCTGGTTCCCGACATCGAGTTTCTGCCAGTAGGTGAAGACCAAAAAGTCGTCAAGATCACCCTCCCTCCGCCCGAGACATCTGCCGTCAATATTGTCACCGGGAAAGCGGTGGAGAAGGGCATGGTGCTTCATTTCATGCTGCAGGTCACTGACGACGGGACACCGAGCCTGACAACATACAAGCGTGTTGTTGTGCAGATTACAAACAAGAGGCTCATCGGCGGCCGAGAAAATGTTTTTGAAACAGTGACTGCTGCTTTAGGGAATGACTAAGTTTTCATCGAAGTTATAGAAGAAGATTGAGGAAGGAGGAATCAGGATTCGGCTTCGTCGCTCCCCTTTAGAAAAAATCTCTCTCTTCTAGCCTACAAGCTATGGCGGTTTTCCAGGGTCTCCGTAAAGTCCGCGAGCGGAGAGGGAGCCATATCCGCACCAGAGGTGGTATCCGTGCAGACGATGAAAACAGTTCTTTTAGAACTCCTCGAATAATGCGTTGGCGGCTTACCCAATGACCAGAGCTGTGCGACCATTCATTGAGGATACAAGATCCTCGATGCATTCCATATAGTAGCCTCCGAATCATTTTGCTATTCAATTTATACCACCAAAAAGGACAAATAGTCCTTCCGCGACGTAGTATCAGCTATAGCTATCTGACTAATGCGTCTCACGTCCTCATCGCGTCGAGTTTTCGTCTCATTGCCGCAATTGACCCTGTCTCAAGCATTCATCGTTTTTTGATGTTCCACAGTGTCTTTGACCACCTCGCCCTTTGCCTGAGCATCTGGCTTATAAGACTTGAACTGCCTCGCCGGAACACGTTTGGCAAACATCTCATCCAACTCCTCGTAAGTCCGGCCGCCAGTTTCGGGCTGGAAGAACCACAGATAACAGAGGCAGAGAAAGCTGGGCCCGCCGAAGACGAAGGCGACCTTGCCGCCCAGGTTGCCTTTGTCCGGATTGAACATGTAAGGCAGCACAAATTGCCACATGACGTTGACCGAGTTTTGCAACGCGAGGCCGATCGCGATCGTCTTGACTCGCAGACGAGCTGTGGCCGTTTCCGTCATGATGGAGAAGGCAGTCGATCCGATCGAGACGTTGTACATCCAGCTGTAGATCAAGATGATGGCGACGGTGCCTTTGATCTCCCCGGGGCTGCCGCCCGTAGCGAGCCCGCCTTCGATGAAAAGGAGCACCACGAGAATGGCCAGACCGTAGAAGGTCAGATTGCGTCTCCCTACCCTGTCGATCAAATAGGCTGCCATGAGATTGCCCACAATGGAAAGCACCGGCTGCGCAATCTGGATTCTAAAGCTTTCCTTGGCCGAGTATCCCGCAAGTTGGAGGTAGTAGGTGAAGTACCCAGCGACGAAGGTAATACCCGTCAGCACTTGGATGATCAAGGGTCCAATGCTAATGATTGTGCGTCGGAGATTGGACCGTCTGAAGCACTCGAAATAGGTGACACCTTCGGTTTCTCTTCTGATCTCTTCGAGTGTCAACTGGATCAGCGCCAGCCTCTTGTTGCCCTCCTGGCCTTTCTGGCCCAGTTTGCCCAGGCTCCTGAGCGCCTTCTCATGCTTCCCCTTTGAAACCAACCACCAGGGAGACCTAGGTGGCACAAAGAGTCAGCGACGGTCGCAATTAGGGGGGTAGAAGTAAATGCGTAATACATACTCAGGCATGAATGGGGCCAGAAGTGCCGAGACACCCGCGAAACCGTATTGGCAGCAAAAAACGACACGATACGCCCAACGAGAGTCGACATCACCAGTGTAATTGACAATGATGAAGGCCAAGAGAGGACCAATCTGTCGCCATTTGTAGAGTTAGCGCCGACATCCCAAGCTTTGGAAACAATTTCCCGGGGTCTCCATTGTCTCAGCCAATGGTGGAAGGATGAATAGAGGTTGGGGTCATACGCCAAAAGCGACTCCAATGCCCACAGTGAAGATGCCTCTCCAGGCGTGGGGCGTGATCTAACTTCTCAGTCAGTAAGAGAACTTGAGAGCGTAAGGGCATAACGTTTGACATGCCTCTCCAATATAAGTCGTCATGACACCCTGAATGGTTCCGACCGCAAAGCCGTTCAAAAATTTGCCGCCAAAGAAAACGGGATTGGTGGTTGAAGCAAATTCGATGCTGATTGCAGCAAAGCTGACTGCCAATGCGCCCATCAAGGTGAATTTGCGCCCGATCATGTCGGCGACAGCGGCGCCACCAAGCACACCGACAACGGCAGACGCCACTGGGGCGGCATTGAATGCCGACTGCCATTCTGCGGGCAGCACATAGTTGCCTTCGAAGTAGGAGCCAAAGTCTTTCCGGAATTCAGGAATCCCCAGAACAGAGCCTGCTGCTTGGAGCTCGAAGGCAGCGAGGACGATGGACCAGCAGGCATAGATACACCAAGCACAAGACCAAGGATATCTTTTGAGAGACTCCCAGACACCCAACTCGTGGTCTTCCTGGTTTGCCAGGTGGCCAAGCTGCTCATCTTCAGTGACTTCAAGATGATGAATGTGGAGCTTTTCCTTTCTCACGGCTTCGACGGATTGCTGCTCAGGGTCCGTCCCGAGTTGGGAGATGTTGGAGTTCTCCATGACTGGGGCCACAGGATGAAAGGTCTTTGATAAACAGCTGGAGTAGGTAGTTGAAGGCAAGGTGCGAAAAGGTCCGCGATGTAGCGGCTGGAAGGAACTATGTAGGTCTCTTTTCAGAGCCAAATTGAGATTCGAAACCCCATGGGCAAAGGAACAAACGCGGGTTGCAAGCGAAGGCGGAGAAATTGCCAAATTTCTGTTTTAGGGGTTGACGGGTTGCTTATTGTGGCGAGAGATGGGGATAACCTCAAGCACATTAGGATATATTGGGGAATCCGAGCCTGCACTGTCCCAGACAGGAAAGTGCTGCCACGACAGAGAAAACAGTCTCGGAGTGGTGAAGCGCGGTTTTCTCGATTCCTTTTTTGTATACTGTATATACCCCGAATCAGTAACTGCACAAGAGGCTGCGGCTGGTAAGGCACGACTCAATCAGACTTCACAGGCAGATTGTGTCGCTAACGCCAGAGGAATTATTCCTTCAAGCTCTAACAATAGATTTTCCTTGATGATAACGCACAAGAATGATCACCTTGACTGGACAACTCACATGTTATTAGCCGAGTGTTTCCCCATAAGTGGTTTCGATCTGGTCAATCTCTTGCTGCAGCTGCAAACCCGTCGTCTGAGCAGCTTTCTTCATGATTTTTGCCACTACAGCTAATTGGGAAGGGTGGCTCAGTTTCTTGGTCCCGAAGATGAGACCTGCGATCACTAGTGGGTCGAATATTTCAGCATCGTCAAAAGTAGCAATCATGCCCACGAGCCTTTGAGCGTGCCATGCCAGCGACGCTGACCAACCAGATTCTGCAGTAGGCTTGATCAATCGTGGCTTGTGGTGTAGTAAATAGATCGCCGTCAGGTGGTGCGAGAAATTGGCCAGGAGGGCGCATACATTACTGAAGATGATGATCGGAAATGGTGGACTTGACGTGCTTCTTGCAGCCAGCGCCTTGGACTCGTCAACCTCAAAGATTTCTTGCATTTCCGCGTTTCTCGCAAAGTACCATAACTCACAATCGCTCCAGCAGGATTGCCATACGGTGGCCATCGGTAACAGCGTTCGCTGACCACCGATCCCGGACGCATTACCGGGTATCATGAACGCTCGCGCAAGGTTCGCGAATGCTTGGCAAAGTTGTTGCTTGTCAGTGAGCATTTGGCCTGGCAAGACCGGGCGTGCGCATTGAAAGATGAAGTTGAGGTCAACGCGGCTTGCCGGAGCCGAAGCAGTAAGCTCGGCGGCAAGAACAAGCCGTGCCACCATCTGCCATTGTCCTTCTTGCAGATTGAAGGTCAGAAGATTCGTGTTTCGTTGCAACACATTGCCCCACAGGCCCGGAGGAGTCAGAATGACTTCTCTAATCGTGAGAAGGATTAAAACTGTCATCTTGTCCTCCTCCTCTGTGTTAGCGAGCGACCGCATTGCCTTCAAGGCATGCTGTTCAGAGCCTGGGTCGTCCACCTTTCGATGTATACCCTGAGAAAGGTTTCTCTGGCAGCTAGACAAGGCCAGAACGCTTTGACACACAGCATTGCAAGTTTTCGCCCTAAGGAGCGCATGAACGCCAAAAAACTGATCACCGACACCAAGATCCAGGCGGGGTGCAATATGGTACCGGTAAAAAGTTAAAAGCTCTATCGTATACCGTCCCTCGTCACGCGGATCCAGCTCCCAGTTGGCCGGTGCGGGACGATTTAATTGACGCTCTAACGGTGAATCCAAAGAACGATCCGAGACGAACTGTGACGACAGTGGAGGAAATGGCGTCGATACTGAGCCAAAGGGATCCAAGTCATCGGGGAATGGGGTCCGTGGTGTTGACAGCAATGTTGGGCGAGCGATACTAGTATTTAGTTCACCGATAAAACGATGCGACGTATTTTGGGGCTCCTTTTGGGTCAGCCAGCTGTCGGACAACGACTCCGGTGCGTTCTGGAGTCTTTGGATCGTATGTGTCCTTGGAAGGGATACATTTCCTTGGGAACTGCTGACATCGGTTGAAGTTTGTCTTCGTTGCTCAGATCGATATTGAATGGCAACATCTTCCGTTGATAAGTGTGCCGCTTTTGTGGCCTTGAGATTTCTCGATTCGACAAATGTGATATTCAGACCGTACCGGCATTGCAGATTTTTGGTTCTGCAGTTTTGGCATTGTGGCTTTCCTTCGTCACATTTTCGCCGTCTACCCCGACATGTCAGGCATCCTGTGCGCACACGTCGCCGATTTGATGGGGTTTCTCTAAGTTGTTCCTGCATAAGCAGTCGCTCAAGAGGTTGTCCATTGAATAAGAGGTGTTTTTGAAAGCAGAAAGTGGTGCCTCCCAGCGTTTGTTTTCCGTGGGGTTCTGCTTTTTGCCATTTGTTGGCGGGTTAGATCGGCCCCTAGGAGCGCTGATCAACCCCCTGCCAAGCCCGGCAGTTGAGCGGTGCTTAATGATACCCGAATCGGTAAGCCAGGTGGAACCTGCTAACTCTTGACCCCTCATTTGCCCCTCGTTTCCACCATGAGATCTGATGCATGCAAGTTACCATATGCACAAACCATTACTCCGTCCATTGCCGAGATGATCGTCAGTAATTTCCATGGAAGCGATCAGAGACCGAAATGCCATACTCCGTAGATCGGCTCAATTCATTTTTTTCAGAGGAACCACCTCCGGATTGTCCCTTATGGCCCCCTGGCTGCTTACCAGTCTTGGACCTCTACTCGCGGACGCGTCTTCTTCATCCCCAGTTTCTGGAATTTAGATATGTGTTGAACAGATATCACGCGTGTGCAGTTGGAATAATCTCTTACAGTTTTAAACCTCTCGCGCTGATTGATCTCCAGAGATGGCGCCTTCAGTCAGCATCCCTGGCCCTCATTTCGTCAATGGCGAAAGTCCTGTCGCCAAAAAGCCCGCCATCAGCCTGGCGGAAATATCCAATGGAGATGTTACAACTCCATGCACTGACCGCACGGCTTCTAAGTTCGCTGCGTACAAGAACCCCTCTCTATTTGTCACCTCGAACCACAGCATTCACCTGGAGGAGACTTCAATACCGAAGCCACGACCAACAGAAGTATTGATTCACGTTCGTGCTACAGGGATCTGCGGTTCAGACCTTCATCTGTGGCATCGAGGAGCCATCGGGCCACTAGTCGTCAATCATTCGCACATCCTGGGCCACGAAGCATCCGGCGTCGTGCTAGAGGTCGGGTCGTCGGTCACGCATCTAACACCCGGAGACCGGGTAGCCATTGAGCCTCAAGTTCCTTGTCAGACATGCTTCCTCTGCACGTCCGGTAAATACAATCTGTGCGAGAAGGTAGCATTCTCTGGAGTATGCCACAACGGAACGATCAGGCGTTTTCTGACGCACGAGGCTCGTTATTGTCACATCCTTCCCGAGAGCATGACCTTCGCACAGGGCGCGCTCCTGGAGCCCTTATCTGTCGTTCTGCATGCCATCAGACGGTGCAAAGGATCAGTAGGAATCGGACAGCCTGTTCTGATATGTGGCGCTGGTCCAATTGGTTTGATGGCTTTGGCTGCAGCAAGAGCTTCCGGCGCATGGCCTTTGGTCATCACAGACGTGGAAGAATCACGTTTGGATTTTGCGAGGCAATTTGTTCCAGGATGCCAAACATACCTTGTTAGGATTTCTAAGAGTCCTCTGCAAGCATCAGAGGAGATCAGACTTCTGTTCGGCTGCGCAGGTGGTCGCGATGTTGAAAAGGGTGTCCCGGACGTCCGCGAATACCAGGCGCCAACGACAGTTTTGGAATGCACCGGGGTCGAATCGAGCGTCGTCACCGCCGCGTACAGCTGTCGGCGAGCTGGAGTTATCATGGTGGTTGGGGTTGGTCAGAGTGTTATGAACAATCTCCCGTTTATGCATCTCAGTCTTGCAGAAATCCAACTTAGGTTCATCAACCGATATTCTGACACCTGGCCCGCGGGGATAAATGCCCTGGCGAATGGTCAGGTACTGAATCTGGACGACTTGGTGACGCACTCGTTTCCGCTAGAGGAGGCCGTCGAGGCAATGAAGCTATGCGCTGATCCGACAAAAAAGAGCATAAAAGTACAAATCGTGGACGACCGGGAGATCCTGCAGTAGACCTTTGCACTAGATTAGATTCCCTGAGAGCTATTTTTCATTTCCAACGTTCAATGATAGAATAGAATTAGGTATGAGCCCAAAGAAACTCGGCCTCCATGATCATTGACTGCTTAATGCATTCTGAACGCCCGGATTTAGAGGCAGAAGTAGAAACAACCTAATCATGAGTCAATGTCGAATCACGTTGTCCGGCCTCAGCTATCGTCACGCAAAAATGCGCAGTGGCTTGTGGAGATAAAAGCCAGGATCATTGAACCTCAAACCCCTGTCTAGAGCACTTATCGCTTTGATCTCCTGCTCTGTCAAATCGAAGCTGCCCTCTCCTCCTTCTAGGTTCTGTCGCAGGCGATCAATGTGGTTGGACTTTGGGATGACAGCTATTTTTCGCTGTGTTGCCCATCGAAGGAGCACCTGAGCTGGGGTCTTGCTCGTTCTAGCTGCTGCGTTCTTGACCACGTCGACGTCGAAAAGAAGTGGCGTGTCTTTTGCTCTTTCTCGAAACGCCGAGGGCAACTCCAAGAAACTCTGCGGTCCGAACGAAGAGTAAGCGGTGATGACAATCTTCTCCTCTTGTGCCAGCTCGACAAGCTCTTGCTGTACAAGATACGGATGATGCTCAATCTGCAGAGAAGAAATTGGATACCGGCAATATGTTTGGATGTCATACAGCGTCTGTGCTTGGGCGTTCGAAATACCGATAGACTTGACGATCCCTTGCTCGACGACTTCCTCCAATGCTTGCCACGTTTCTTGAATTGGCACATTGGCTCTTTCAATCGACGTGTGCTCTGGATCCATCCACCAAGCCTGTTCAGTCAGTGCTTAAGCTCCAAAGTGACTGTGGTGGTCGAACTCACCGGATATCGCAGTTTCTCAGGCTCAATATACTTGAGCGCAATGGGAAAGTGAATCAAATACAAGTCGATATATCCAAGACCCCAAGCTTCATTCTGCGCTTTGGCCATAGCCAGCGCATGTTCTCGTTGGTGGTAATTATTCCAGAGCTTCGTCGTTACAAAAATGTCCTCTCGTCTGACTAGCCCTTCGCTGATGGCACGGCGAATGCCCTCGCCTGCCTCCTTTTCATTCTGATAGTCATAAGCGCCATCGAAAAGTCGATAGCCAACCTTAATGGCCTTTCAAGAAATATCAGCAATGGCAGTATGGGACAATCGAATGTTTCATACTCACGTGGTAAACAATGTCAGCAGCTTTTTCGGCCGGCACCTTCCACAGTCCAAAGCCAACCAAGGGCATTTCATGCCCTGAGGCTAAAGTGACTGTGTCCGAAGTCATATCCTTCAAATGTGAGGCTAATTTTGTGGTTCCTACCAACTCAACGCAAAACGTCTTGCAGATATGATGGTATTGTGAAGACACTCGGGAGAGATATTCAGGAAAAACCCCGATCTCGGCTCGTATGGCAATATTGAAGCCAAGGAGGGACTCCACCAAATCTGGAATCGGGCTTTTTACAAAGATCTTCCTTCGATCGTAGACGTTGCAATGACCCGCTGTATCTTTTTCAACAACCCGCCTTCTGCGGCAGCTGGAAAATAACAAGCGATGAGGCAGCCCCGTTTTCGAGGTGCGGAGTACGGCGGACTCGGCATAACCCCGCCTAGTGGATTCATTATAAACATCAGGCGGTTGTGTCCGGTGGCTATTCTTTCCTATATAGGCAATATAGGTCAAATATTATTAGGTGAAGGAACTGTCAAAGTCGGTAAGGACGCTGTCATGAAGTGGTCTCGAGTCGCTCCTTTCCACATGCTTGTGTGCACCTGTTTTGCTATTCGGAAATTTACAGCAGCCACTTGCACATCTCAATTGCTTTTACCGCATCCAGGCTGTCTCGAGTTTGTGTGCTCAGCCAGACTTGTAAGGCCTCTGATGCCGTCCCTGACAGGTTAAAGATCGAGTATTTCTTGCCCGAACGAAGACCGTGTACCAACATGCGGCGGGACTGTGAAGTGTCGTTCATGTACGTGGAAGAACATCATTCTTCTCATCGATCTTCTTGATAATCTAGGTTCCTTTTTCACACGTCAATACTGCAGTCAGCTCCGTTTCCACACTTCAATCGAAGAGCTCACTTCAGATCCAACAAAGGCGACTATTTACAGACAGCATGAGCCCAATTGGTGTCCCTCTTGGTGGACAGTCAATGCAACTTCCAGACGTCGACTACAAGCTGACCAATAATGAGACCAAAGATCAGGCAGCGTTAAAGAGACGTGGCTCGGTTCGGCTGAGCTCCGAAGAAGAACTGGTTTTGAAGAGCCTCCGAGTACTCATCGCTGACTTATGTCAACAATTCGGAGGCGGGCATCCAGGGTACGGTGATCGTATTTACAGTCCTCTGAAGAGTCAACGCTAAAGGCTGGATCAGAGGGGCTATGGGAATGGCCGCAATTGGTGTCGCCTTATGGAAATATGTGATGCGATACGCACCTCACGATCCAGATTGGATCAACCGGGATAGATTTGTGCTATCCAATGGCCATACCTGTCTGTTCCAATACTGCTTTTTGCATTTGACCGGCTACAAGACCATGACTTTCGAACAACTGAAGTCCTATCACTCGGATCAGACAGACTCGCTTTGCCCCGGTCACCCTGAGATCGAGCACGAGGGTATCGAGGTCACAACTGGTGAGCTGTTGTATTCACGAGGTATATAATAATTGCTAATTTGTTGAGCAGGTCCACTTGGTCAGGGTATTGCCAATGCGGTGGGACTGGCCATGGCTTCCAAGCATTTAGCAGCCAGGTTCAACCGACCAGGGTTCAATGTAGTATCCGACCATATCTGGTGCATGGTCGGCGATGCTTGTCTCCAGGAAGGAGTCGGGCTCGAGGCCATCTCTTTCGCGGGGCACATGCGCTTGAACAACCTGACCGTAATATACGACAATAACCAGATCACCTGCGACGGCCCGGTCAGTCTAACAAACACCGAGGACATCAATGCTAAAATGAGGGCATGTGGCTGGAACGTGGTCGAGATCTCTGACGGATGTTGGGATGTCGGAGCCATCACACAAACTCTGGAGGCCTCTCGTCGTTCGCCCCTGCCAACGTTCGTGATTTGCCACACTGTCATCGGTGTTGACACGGCCGTCGCTGGGGACGCGGTCGCACACGGAGCTGCTCTGGGATCGGAGACCGTCATGTCCCTCAAAAGACTCTATGGGTTCGATCCCGAGCGGCGATATATCATTCCAGACACGGTTCGAGATTTTTTCAGTGGTCTTCCTTCCCAAGGAGAGTCTTTGGTGGCCGAGTGGAATCAAACACTGCAGCGTTATAGCCAAGCTTACCCTGACCTAGCTGAGGAATATGCTAGGCGTATGGAGGGTGACTTGCCAGACAACTGGGAGTCCCTGATACCAGACGCTTTCCCTTCAAAACCCACACCGACCCGTGCCGCGTCTGGATTAGTATTTAGTCCACTCGCTGAGAGACTTGATCAGTTCATGGTCGGAACTGCCGACTTGGCTCCTTCGGTGTACATGAGCTGGAAGTCTAAAGAAGATTTCGAACCGCCATGTCTAGGGACTGGAAGTTATTCCGGGCGCTTCATCCACTATGGTGTCAGGGAACACGCTATGGCTGCAATTTCGAACGGACTGGCCGCCTATCATCCCGGCATCTTCATCCCAGTCACATCTAGGTAAGAGGATAGTTCATGATGTTGGCCCGATTTGACATATTGCTGATGGTTAGAACCAGCTTCTTCATGTTTTACCTGTATGCAGCGCCGGCGGTACGAATGGGAGCGCTGCAACATCTGCAAATCATTCATGCCGCCACGCACGACTCTATTGGTATGGGAGAAGATGGTCCAACGCATCAACCAATCGAGCTTGCGGCACTATACCGCGCAATGCCCAACTTGTTGTATATTCGACCCGGGGATAGCGAAGAGACGGCAGGTGCCTGGATAGAGGCGATCAAAGCAAGGCACACCTCTTCCATTATTTCCACCTCTCGACATGCCCTCCCCCAGCTTACGGGGTTGGCGAAAAGAACAGGAGTGGCAAAAGGTGCTTATATCCTCGAAGAAGTCACAGGGACGGCCGACCTTACTTTGATCGGGGTCGGTGCGGAGCTCAACCTCGCCATCAGCGTTGCGGCCGAGCTGCGGAGCTCCCATGGCCTGAAGGTGCGCACGGTTTCTTTTCCATGCCAGCGGCTTTTTGAAGCACAACCAAGAGGATATCAACGGGAAGTGCTTCAGCGACAGAGTGGTGTACCGGTAGTGGTGATCGAAGCGTACGCTGCTAATGGCTGGGAACGTTACGCAGATGCAGCTGTATGCATGAGCACAAACCGGTTTGGCAAATCACTGCCGGGACCAAAAGCGTACGAGTATTTTGGCTTCGATGTTCCCTCGATAGTGGCCAGGGTTCGGGGCTATCTGGAAGATTTGAGGGTTGATCCAGATCTGAAGCACGACTTTGTAGAATTGACATACGCGAAAACAGATGGATAGGATATTTTGTCGATAATGGGAACTGATATTGTGCGAGTGTTGGATTTTGTAGTCGTCCTTCATCTCTCGAACTCACTAGTAGCTGTGTCGTTTGGATTACTCTCGGCTCCTGAGCGTCCCGGGCCCAATTTTCACACCCTGAATTGGAGGTACTCGCCAGCAGGTAAGGTCGAAGTCTTCCCTGTAAACACCGCCGAACGACTTGTAGCATAGCTTGAAAGGAGAATGTTGCGCAGGATGGTTGACAGTACCTGCAGCCCAAGGCCAAGTTGGTAGATTCGAGGGGAGCTAGCTACATGAGATAAAAGACCTTTTACATCGACATCCAATTTATCCCACACGGACCTGGGAATGGAGCCGATACCTAGACGTTCCAGGGGGTTTCCGAGTATGTTCAGGGACCAGTTTGCAAAATCCTCGTCTAGCTGCACACGGACCATGTTACTCACCAGGAGCAAAACGCCACTGGAAAGCGTTCTCTGGTGAGTTTTGACCATGTCGCAATACGCTGAATCAGCGAGAACTTGTTGCACAACGTCCGTCGAATCTTCCGGGCTAGTCCTGGTGATGTCTTCATTCATGGCTAGAGGGTCTGACAAAAATCCAGCGTCAGGAAATCTTTCTCTGGAGCCTTGCGTTACATGATTAACGTTCCGCACGCCCTCCTCGTCAAGGAGCGAGATCATCTGCTTTTTGATTTTCTCGGCGCTGTCAATCGCATAAAACTTAGGCTCTGTCAGTGAGTACCAGCTCCAAGAGGGCAAGGCGTGCTGTGGTTCTTCTGTAGGGCTGTTGGGATCTGCTAGTCGCAGTACAGGTTCCGGCGTAGAAAAATCAAACTCCACTGGCCCCCAGCGACTTTCGCTTCCCGTAACTCGTGGTTCCAAAACGAGAGTGAACCAGACCAGAGATTCTTGTTCGCCCCATGGTGGTACACCGAGAGGGATTCCGTAGTGCATCGATGCTTGCATTACCGGTGAACATGTACACGACGTCGGCAGGGTAAGTGAATGGTCATTTAGTATATTCTTCGACATGTCTGCCATAATCAGAAAATGAATAGTACCCAGACTTGAAATTGTCCTTAGCCAGATCGTTGCAAAAGTTTCCCGACGGGTTGACGACACCGAAATAAGCTTGAGAAGAGTGTGATTTGTAAGATTCCCAGATTGACTCGTTCGAAAGTTTCTCCGCAGCTGAAGAAGGCTTCTCGTTCGGTCAAGTAGATCGTGCGACAAGAAATAAGCCCCCCTTGAAAGATCCACCCTCGATTGTAGTATGTCTTCCTTTCAAGGATGTGGTGGAACGGAGGGAAGCGTAGACCTGTCGTGCTGTTCTGCAGTTTGACACAATGCTGCCGTTTTTCTCCTTCACGAGATACGCCAAGTCCCCGAATGCCAGAGTCGGCGTTGACGCCACTTACAACAGCCAAACAGAATACGGCTTTACTGTAGATGGAAGCCATGGACTGCAGTAATGTAAACAGCTCAGTCTGGTCATTGTGGATGATGCAAAGGGAATCTACCTACAGATACCGCTCCCCAAGAAGCGCTGTCAGTTTCAGAGCATCGCTGATGGTATTTGGCACAATGGAGTGGTATGTATGGATATCTGGGAGCTGGACCATGCTTCTAGTCAATAGTGATATTCGTGGCTGGGTCACCGCAGACGTAGCTCAGCGCAACGTAGCGTGAGTTGACAGTACTAGACACGATTCTTTGGCTCTGCACGTCGATCAACTTTAAGTACTTGCCGAAGCGTTCCCCCCGAGGCGTTTCCCCAGGTGGCAGTGGTTGAGACGCCTCTGAAGTAAAGAACCAGCGAAAAGTATTTGGGCTTCGCATCTAATGCCTTTTTGCAGGTCTTGTGATTCTTCTCACAGCGCACAATCCAGTCTTTGAGGATATGGATCGAAGAACTTAGTAAATCCGAGATCTGGCGGCCCACCGTAAGGTGATCTGCAGAGATCATGTGTAAGAAGGAATTTCTGCCTTCAAGACTTTTCACATATCCAATCTTGTTTTTGCTCTCCCGAACCAGCTCGATAGGAGACCTGGAATCGCCTGGCGGGGTTAGGTAAGCGTAAACATTGCAGCTAATGGGCGGCGGGATACGATCCCAGTCCAAATGGCCCATCGGATCAGCCAGAAACCTGGCCGCAACGTTGGATAAATGGAACATCCAGTCCTCTCTGGAGCCGCTGTTGGGATCCCCACATCACGGCCACAGAGTGCGTGGGTTTGTCAAGAGCTTGCAGGAAAACACACTCGACGGAGCGTTGTCGCACCTCCGAAAAGATGCCTAAGGTAAAGTCGATGTTCTCCTCACGAGAGCGCCGGATTTTGTTGTGATTCCTAAAAAGTGCATGAAGGTCAATTTGTTGACAGGTGTTGCAAAGTTGTGCCATGGCCGTGTCCGATGTCAAAACTCATCACTCAATGCCAGCCAACGTACAACATACATGCCTTGGCCCGACTAAAGGCTGCCTGTCCTGGGGGCTGGGATAGTAAACTGAAAGACTGATCTCAAATCAATATAGACTGTCAATTACACATTCGTGTCATAAGCCTTAAGAAAGTTGGCCCAGCTGAAGGAAGCTAAGAGATCGACTGAACGGTGTAGGTGCCAGAGCGAGGACCAGCGGTATCCTGTTGTGGGCTATAGAGGAGCGCAGACGCCAGCCTATCTGTCGGTACCCAGAAGAGCTAGGTTGAGCTGGACCAAGAGATCACGAAATATCACGTGGTGTCGAAGGCTACTATCGCGGTAGTCGGTGTATGTCGCACTCTAGCTGTGAAGTTAGGGGCTTGGCGGCCTCCATATTAGAGGAAGTCCGTACTCGGCGCTTCATATCGAGTATTTGGTCAACAGTGAGAGGCACCGAGGGTAACTTAGCCGATGCAAATGCTGCCATCCCTCCTCAGGCTGAAGTGTATTCCGCGTGTCTTGTGAGGGGCGGCGCGTCTCGGACAGGGCATGGACCTGTTCATGCAGGCCACAGGTCGGATGTTAGAGACATCAGGTCACACGATGTCCATCCGCTGCTTATACCCTTCCTGTGCGAACCCGTCCTGAGCACATCTCTTTCTTCGGTTGAGAACCTACATTCAACCTGACTGCTGGCATAGTCATGGCCGCTACTCCAGGAAGCGCCTTGAGCGCAGATTCTATCCTCGACTACATGGCCAAGAGCCTGCCGACCCCGCCTTCCGATTCAGAGCAATCAACTCTCATCAAGGATCCATTCGCCGCCATTGCCCTCTTCTCACATGCCTGCATGCTTGCAGTAGGCTTTCGTCTCGTGGGTTTGGGAGAAGAACACAAGATAGGCAGGCGTCTCTTCGCAACAATCCAGAAATCTCACTAATAGTAGAAGCCCAATCAGACACCCAAGATGTTCAGGCCTTACCTACTGAGTGGGACAAATCTTCTTCCTACGCCTTCCGCTATGCCCATTCGCAGTCCGCCATGGAGTACCTTGTCAAGGTCAATCGACTAGGAAGCAAGGCTTTAATATTTGGAGTCGGCATGGGTGACGATAAGACCGCCTCGTTTGAGGTCAAAGCCAACGACTACATTTCCGAAGGGTCAATAAAGGAGGCAACGCCGACATCGGACAAGGTCCCTGCGCTCCGAAATGTTTTCATATCCAACGGCCGAATTGCAGACCTCGCGTCACTCTTCAAGTTCAACATCATCCAAAAATTGGCTCCGGGGATTCAGAAGGCCGGGTACGAAGACACAGCTGCCACTCTAGAGCAGCCACGACGACATGAAGAAACTCGCCCCCCTGAGCGCGAGCCGCTGCGAGATGTCCATCCTCCTCCTGCACGACCGTACCCTTTCGACGATCCCTTGGCGGTCCCTCCGCGAAGACCTCATCCGCCAGGAGACTTTCCACCGCCGGGCTTCGAAGACGAATATGAGATAAATAGACCTCCACGCGGTGTTCCACCGAGCCATCAACCATTTGGGAACATTGGGGAGAGAGACCTTTATCCTCCCGGGTTGGGCCCACATGATCCCCTCGGGATTGGACCTGGAGGGGGATTTCATGGCGGAGGAGGAATGCATCCGACCTTTGATGATCCCATATTTGGCGGCCAAGGAGGCCAAAGGCCCTATGACCCTCAGGTGCCTCCAGGGGCTCGATATGACCCAGTTGGCCCAGGTGATGGTCCTCCAAATCTTCGAGGGGGCTCACACTTCCCAGGAGGCGGCGGTAGAGGAGGGGGAAACAACCCATTCGGAGGGTTTGGAAGCGGTGACTTTAGATAGGGTACTGCAAAATCGCTGCAGATGACAGTATGAGGGCGATGTGTGGACGAGGAATGATTCAAAACATCACATTTATTGTGCGAGTAGGCAAAAATTCATAATTGCGGACGTCACTTAGCACGATTGTAAGATTTGAAGCAAACAGCATTTGAGAAGGCGTCGTCATCTCTCTAAAGGGAGGACGAGATATTGTGGTACATGCAAGGTTTCCTCCCAGGCGTTTTGAGTCTTTGTCTTTCAGTGGTGATGGCTTGCAAATTAACAAGCAATTCACCTCCCCCTTTATTCCAGGCGAGGGCCATTGGGGACACCAGGGCTGCCCCCGCCACCACCGCCACCCCCAGCAAGGCTATTACAGGGTACCCCTTACCCAGTACTGTGTACTTGGTAGACAACCCATCGGTGACCCAGTGAAGCCGGCTGGGCTCGAGACCTGGCTAAGCACTTAAGCGGCTAGCTGATTATTAGTTCCGAGTACATTGCAGAGGCAGGATTTCGACAGGTATGTCATGGCCGCTCCTTGACTACAATCTAACAACATTCCCAACACAGCCAGTACCGGGAACAGATATCGAAGACAGCAGCATTTCACACAAGATCGTTCTGCATTTGACATTCCATCACGTGCTACTCCCCTCCTCGACTGCGCTACTTTAACATCCTCCCAAATTGAGACCACAACAAGCCATCCCACCTTAGCACACGACATAACGAACTCTCATTACGACCCGTCTCTCCTCTTCATCCCTTGTCATTCCTCTTCGAATTTGACACTCTGAGCGCGTGTATGCCCAACCATGGATACAAAGATGGACGTCGACGTGGGCAAACCAGCGCAGCCTCATGGTCTGTCTCCCGCCACTGACCCGCAATCAATACCTACCCTCGATGGCTGGATTGAGAGCTTGATGGACTGCAAACAGTTGGCGGAGAGCGACGTATCGAGACTTTGCGATAGAGTGAGCCACGCGCGCAACCGTGAACAGGCTAGAAGGCTAACACTGGGCGCAGGCTAGAGAAGTTCTCCAAGAAGAGTCGAATGTACAGCCAGTGGTGAGTTTTCTGTCGCACGCCCAAGGCTCTGGCCAGGTGGCTGACTTGGTGCAGAAATGCCCCGTCACGGTCTGCGGGGATATTCATGGCCAGTTCCACGACTTGATGGAGCTCTTTCGCATTGGTGGACCCAATCCAGACACGAACTACCTCTTTATGGGTGCGCAGAGATACTGTCTCTGAAAATCCACACCACTGACAATGAAAACCAGGAGACTACGTAGATCGTGGCTACTACTCCGTCGAGACCGTGACCCTCCTCGTCGCCCTCAAAATTCGATATCCTTCCCGTATCACCATCCTCCGCGGGAACCATGAGTCCAGACAGATCACCCAAGTCTACGGCTTCTACGACGAATGCTTGCGAAAATATGGCAACGCCAATGTCTGGAAATACTTCACCGATCTCTTCGACTACCTCCCCCTTACCGCTCTGATCGATAACCAAATCTTCTGCCTACACGGTGGGCTTTCTCCCAGCATAGACACCCTCGATAACATCCGCTCGCTTGACAGAATTCAGGAAGTCCCTCACGAGGGCCCCATGTGTGATTTGCTCTGGAGTGATCCTGATGACCGATGTGGATGGGGTATCAGTCCAAGAGGTGCGGGATACACATTCGGGCAGGATATTTCGGAAGCCTTCAACCATAACAATGGCTTAACACTGGTGGCCAGAGCTCATCAACTGGTCATGGAGGGTTACAATTGGAGTCAGGATCGAAATGTGGTGACAATCTTCAGCGCGCCCAATTACTGCTACAGATGTGGTAATCAGGCTGCCATCATGGAGATCGATGAGCATCTGAAGTACACCTTGTGAGTGTGACCCCTCTCTGGTCTTGGTTCGATTTACTGACAGAAGTGACCTTTAGCTTGCAATTTGATCCATGTCCCCGCGCCGGCGAACCAATGGTCAGCCGAAGAACTCCAGACTACTTCCTCTAAACTCAAAGACGTGCCGGATCTTGCCTGCGTTGCGCGACTAGACAACCAGAACCGACACATCCTGAGGTGGGATGGTTCTCCATTGCACCCTCATAGACCACGGTTTCACACAACCTAGCACGACAACAGGGGGGAATATCCAGAAAGAAACGTGCGTGCAGGAAGAACCACAAAGCAGGATGTCGGCGAAAAGGCGAACCATATATCGTGGAATTGAGAAAGATGAGAGCAGGCATGAGCATGACGAGTGTAAACAGAGCCGCAAGCGGTGTGTGAGCGGAATACCCTCCAAGAAGACACAGAGAAGAGATGTTTGATAGACATACAACTCCCATGATGCATTTTGCCAGAAGGGAGAGGTGTTCTGCTTCGCTCATGGCCTCTGCTGCTAGGGCTTCGGCCTCTTGTGCGATGTATTTCCAATAAGGATCGCTAATGACGGGTTTGAGGAGGCGAGTTCTCTCTCGGTTTGCCTTTGGTGTTGTTTATTGTCTTTACTCCGTTTCCTACCGCTTTACTATCGTTCAGTATCGTTCGGTGTTGCCTTTTCGCCCCTTTCCCCATCTGCACAGATTCTACCTAGTCCGCAGCCGCTATGATTGTATATGTCCCCGGCTGTGTCTGCCCGCCCGCCTTCGTGAGTGTCTGTCTCTTCCTCTCCCTAGTCTTCCCAATTCATTGTCCACTTTGGGGACACCTCCTAATCTCAATCTCTTCTCCCTCTCCAGAGCACATGCCGCCTTCATCACCACTATCACACTGGTCTTTTCGCGCCACTCCCTCTTCCTCCTAGGTTTATTCTTCCGCCAACTCGGGCAAAGCGAATCCGTCGCCGTTGCCCTCCGCTTGCGCCGCCTTCTTGGTCAACGGGCCGTTCTTGACCATGATGGTCATGACCTCGTACAGCACGTCGGCCGCGGCCATCGTGGTGAGCTCGGCATTGGTGTCGTAGGCGGGGGCGACCTCGACAATGTCTGCGGCGACGAAGTTGACGCCCTCCAGGCCGCGGAGGATGGTGCGGAGCTCGCGCGTGCTCCAGCCTCCCGTCTCGGGAGTCCCCGTCGCGGGGGCGAAGGCCGGGTCGAGCGTATCGATGTCGATGGAGAGGTAGACGGGGTTTTCTGTGCCGACGCGCTCGCGGATGCGGTGGATGATGCCGTGCACGCCAATCGTGTCGATCTCGCGCGCCTCGACCCTCGTGAACCCGCAGTAGCCGTCGTTCTCGTAGTCCGAAGGGCCCGAGAGCGTCGTGCGGATGCCCGCGTGGATGCTGCTGTCGTTCGCCAGCAGCCCTTCCTCGGACGCCCAGTAGAAGTACGTCCCGTGGTTGATCGCCGCCTGCTTGGACGGCGCCCCGCCGAACACCTTGGGCTTCCACGTGTCGAGGTGCGAGTCGAAGTGGATGACGCTGATGGGTCCGTATGCCTTGTTGATGGACCGCAACAGAGGAAGCGTGATCGTGTGGTCGCCGCCCAGCGTGATGATGCGCGGCAGGGTCTTGCCCGCCTTCGAAATGCCCGGCTCCTGCGCTGCCGTGTACGGCGTACGCATCAGGAGCGTGTTGTGGCCGTCCTCGATTTGCTGCAGGGCATAGTGGTTGTCGTACCTGGCGTCGTCTTCGTCAGCACCCATGCGTAAAGAGCCAACTAATTGAACTGGCTGTCTTTCGATGGCTAGGGTCTATGTACTCACGAGGTGACGGGGATATCACCACAATCAATGACTTTGCCCCAGAAGTTGAACGGGTTGGATTTCATGGGTCTGTTTAGGGATTATCTCGCCGATGTGTTAGCCTTCTTCTTCTGCTTCTCGTACTGCTGCTACTGCCGCCGTTGCTGGCATGTTCCTTTCATTTCATGGAACCAGCATTTTCAATCTTGGACATATTCTTTGGTAAATAGGGGGGAAAGGGGGGGTGGGGGTCGTCAAACCACGTACACATTATACCCGCCGCTAAACCCAAGCTTTCGTGAGCCTTTTCAAATTCCATCGCAAAGTAAGCCTTTGAGCAAGGACGAAAACAGACGTACTAGAGATTGAGGCGTCGAGAACCTTGTCTGATCCCGCTAGGTCCAAACCGAGCTCCTGGTCGATATGAAGTGCCAGTGTCGAAGGGTGCACCTATAGTAATGAGCAAGAAGCCGATACAATTAGCTCTTCGGTGTCTTTGTCTCTTGTCTCTAGACAGATTGAAGTGGCGAGTTAATCGACGCACCAATGAATGCAATGTCATATTTCTCCTCGTCGCTGGTCAAGCAGGGGAAATAGGGTAGGCGGCCGAAGGTTGAGATGCCGGAGAAGACAGAGTCGGCCTGGATGTCATAGTGTTAATGAAGCTCGTTCTGGCAATGTATTTCGGATCTTCGTGCTTACCTGTGTGCCGCCGTCACCTGGCAGGGTGTTGTACCAAAGAGACCTGTGCGGCCCAGCGATGGGGGTTTGATCGTGGCCGTGGTCGCCGTGGGCGAGGGCGCAGCTGGCACATGCCAGCAAGGCAATTGACTTTAGCAGCATCTTTTGCCTCAAATTTAATGTAGGTCAATCTCGTCCAGATGCAACGAGGAAGAGTCAAACGGCGAAAACTGAAGAGAGAATTTCGCGAAACACAACCCCACGAAGCAGAAATTTGGAGCTCGAGAGTGAGCAGCTTTGTTGTTTTTTTTTCCCACGAGCTAGGTAGTAGCTCCCAGCCAGTGAGTTCCTGCAGATAGCTACCAACTATGGTAGGAAAACGCACCTTACCTGACCATGTCGAATGATGCAGATTTGGATTTCCTCTTACCTAAAGCTTCCAAGCATAACAGGGGGCGCGGGAGTCTTCCGAGCAAAACAAGACCTTCCTATCAATGCATGCCCCGCCGTGTTGACAAGAGGAATTGCCAAATCATGACGGCATGAGAACTTTCAGGCCGAGCCAGAGACCGAGACCAAGGGCCCTTGGGGACCTACCAGAGCTGCTAGGGTTTGGAGCTTTGCGGAACAGTTTCGAGCATATCGCG